TATTGAGAAACTCTCTGAAACGGGTAGTACTTTTCGCTCAATTAAAGTATTTGGTAGTAATTCAGTTCGAAGTTACACGGTTTAAACGACATTTGTACTGTATTGAGCTTCAGTACACGTATGAAAATCTAGCATCCCTTGCCACCGGCAATAATCAAGCACGAGGTAGACTCGTACATGGCCATAATGTTGGTCATGAGCGACCATATGAATGCGAACATAACGTAGAACACTGTAAGGCCACCGAGAACCTTGCTGCTTCCACCCGTACGAAGCAGTTCCTGCGTTTCTTTCTTCTGAGGAGGTAGGAAGACCAGGAACGACCACGAAAAGATCGTCATGCCGTACATGATCAGCACGGCGTAGGTGAGATCTGTTCGGATCGAGGTATCGTCGGCCTGGATACGCGCAGTAGTTAAGTTTAGAGGCTGGTTAATCACGAGCGTCAAGGCTTGCGCGAATGGAGACGCCAAGTTGCCAACCATCGTGATGAGACCGTAGATAGCACCTTCATTACCGACACCGGACAGCTCGACGATGACAAAGAAACCAATCATCCAGCCGACACCGTACGGGAGTTGCACAGCCATCGGGATACCAAGCCAGAACCACTGACTACGGAACACGTTCCAAATAGTAAGGAAAGTAGTAATACCATCCGCAATAATGACGAAAATACCCGTGAAGAGAATCATCTTGCGCCAGTTCCAGTGTAGACCCCACTTGGACGTAGCCATGATACCACCCATGAAGAGCACATTACTGATAATCTCACTGATAGTGTTGTTGATCGGAGTGACACCAACCATGTACGACTGGACTGGGGAGCTGGCAGTGTATGTAATACTGGAGAAGACGTTCTGGAAGAACTGGTAGAAGATGACCTGGTAGACGGCGCGCTTCTGAATGAGTTCCCACAGCTCGCTCATGTATTTCCTGAACGGCACTCGCGTCTGCTTCTCCTCCTTAATGAAAAACCACGTGATTGGAATAATAGGTGCAGTGATACACGCGACGATAGACATTAGCTCGGGAAAGTTCAAGGAGAAGTCGAACTGGCCGCCGTACTCCTCTCCGTTGAAGCAGAAACCAACCAAAAGTTGACCAATGATGACGAACACAGTACGGACTGTGTAGATAGCGGACTGGATCTTGCCACGCTGCTCCACAGGTTCACGCTGAGCATATTCCACCACGATACTGTCGGCGCAGACATCAGCTAGAACGTATCCGATAGCGGCGAAGAACATGAGCATGACGTATTTGCCGGCCTGGTTACCAGCGTCGTAGTTGATGCGAGCCTCGATTTCCGGCGTGTAATCGGCGGGATCGATTTTGCGGTCGGACGGGACCGTGTAGTACGGGTCACCGGCCGGAGAGGCAGCCATGACGATCAGCATAGCAAGGCACATGCCCCAACCGATGAGCATCCAAACCTTTCGACGGTATCCCCATAGCGGCACACAGTCCGATAGAATACCGTAAAAGACCTTGAAACTCCACGGTAAAATGACGAGCGTCGCGGCAGTGGTGACTTGAGATCCGGTAGCGTTCAGGTACTGCTGTAGGAACGGGTAGACCGTGGCAGGTAGCAGACCATAGTTGATACCGACAGCGGCGTACTGGAAGAGCAAACCGATACTGTCAGTACTGGTAAGGACCGGGGTACCACCCTCACGTAGAGCACCACCCTCGAGAGAGGACGGATCTGGGGTCTTGGCTTGCGCGTAGCTGGGAGTTCTATCTGGGTCCTTGGCTTGAGACGGAGTGCCGCTCACAAAAGATATCCGTACGGGAGGTCCTGCTGGCGACGCCATGAGCCTGTGGTGGAATGTTGCTTGAGCGAAAGAGTGCAAATTCAGGAATGAAACCTGCTGTCGGTCTCAAAATTAATCGACATAACAAGTGGAAACCACTGACGAACAGACTGCGCGATGACCTGCACCTTGAGTCAAAGCATTCCGATAGCCGAAAGATGCCGGTTCATTGGCTATGCGTCCAGGTAGGACTATTTCGTGAAGGCAAACGTACAAGGCGGTATGGTACACCATCAAAACAGCACCAAGCCGGTGGGGAAATTTGTTGATTTGCCTGTTCGGCGATGCTTTTCACACCATCTGTACGCGGAATCGGTGACGTCCCGAAATCGCACACGGGTATTCGCTGCCTCGCCGTGATGCATGGCTTTGACAGGAGCACTGCAATTGCCGCACTCGGTGACAGGATAGCTACAGGTGGGAGCTTGCATTCGTTCACACCGTATATGTGTGCAGTCGAGGAGTATGCGGTTGCGGCGGGAACTGCGGATATTTGAACTTGGAGAGGATCACGCCTTGTGACCGCGCAATACTGTTGCAGAGGTCTCGCACTTTGGGTGTATTTGCTGGGTCGCGTTGGTTGTTTGCCATTTTAGTGCAGAGGACCTCGGAGATTAATTAATTTTTGATCAAAGGATTTTTAATCAAATGATGGGATGATGTTACAAATAAACCGTATATTTTGCTGAGCTGTCGGTGATTCCTTAAAACTATTTATCGGGGGGAATTACCACAATACAGTACGTATGCACCGTTTTGTCCCAATTCCACAGAACGGCACCAGCACCTTGCGTTAATCCTTTACGAACTCAGTATATCTGCTGCGTTTTCTTCTGACTATATAGAGTATAATAGCTGTTGAACGAAAGATTCACCAAGTGCTGGAAGGTGATGTGTAAGTATCTCATCGTACTGACAGAAATTTCATGCGCTGCAACAGGTGGGCCTTGTCACGCACGCCCGTGGTCCCAGGCGTTCACCATAGCCACGGAGTTCAGCCGATTTCGCGACTTTGTTCATTTCGGTACCTTCCGCTCGATCGAAACTGCCGACATGTATACTTTACTAAGCTAACCGTAGTACAGCTTTCAGGTCAAGTTGCAGCTCTATTACGAGAGCCAAAACTACAACAAAGCTGACAGCGAAGGCATATAGAACATGTAATACATTAGTCGCTAGTTCTTCCTACTGAAAGGAGAGTTGTTAAGACAATCGGTAAAGTTAAATCGTTATGTGGCTTGATAAACTTTTAGTTAGTTAAACGTACTTAACATCCCTAGGTTCGCATTACGAACTTACTGAGAACATTTTTAAATGCTAAATGTAAACAAAATTGCACAATGTTGGCGTTAATAAGACCAAAAGTGTTTTGCGTTACGCAAAACACTTTCATGTTATGAACTGTGTTCTGGATTGTGGAAATGGCTCAGACTTATTGTGAAGTGATGGAGTCAGTGGAGAGGTGTCTATTGATTGCCAAGCCCGGCTTCGATTGCGCGCATATTTGCCCAATAATTCGTCATCAAGCCAGTTACGATTATCCTTCGCTGAATCCATCTCCTTTATTTTGGCAAACAAGCGGAGACAGGATCGAGGTGATGCCCACATGGCAGAGAATATTATCAAAATACCACAATAGTACGAGGAACGGGCGTCATGGACTGCAAATCGCCAAGAACCAATGAGTCGGCAGGAATTCTATCGCCTGCCTAAACCAAATTTAGTCGGAGCAAAACCTTTTTTGAAACGCGTAAGAGACACTTTTGTTTTGCATATCAAAATGGGTACAAACACGTAACATTTTATAAAATATCTACGTACGTATGGGATCAAGTGTCGTATACACTCCGCGACACAATACCTAAATTACCTGAGGTCCTTTTGGTCCGTAACTCTGCCAATAATTAGACTTAGTATACGCTGTTTAAATATGTTACTGCTGCGATTGATAATATTCTGGCTCATGTGTTAACGATCCCAATTTCGCAGTTTGTGGTGGACCTCCCATACAAAATTCCGATTGTGCTACCATGACACAATATATCACTCACAAAATGAATACAAAAATCAAAATTAAAAGAATGCAGGTCAAATCAGTAGTGAGTCTTGTTACCCTTCCTATCTTGAACTTCCACGCAGCGACGACGCATGGACTCGACTAGAGACTCTAACAAGGCTAATGGAATGCCATCCCATGTCTTATTAAGCGCTGCAATTAACTAGGTGAAGCTATTAAATTGTTTTCTATTAGAATAAGCTATCCGACTCACAATTGACCATAAGTTCTCAATTGGAGTGAGATCAGGCGACTAAGAAGGCCAATCTAAAACAATTTTATCTTGCTCTCCAAAAAACCTCTTTGGTTCGGCGAGAAACATGAATGCTGGCATTATCTTGTTGAAAGATAGAGTAAGTGCCGTAGTTAAGGTGGGCAAAGGGTAGGAGGCTCTCAGAAATTGTGTAGACGTAGCTGTCTGAGTTCTGCTTATCCGTTAGCACAACGAACGGGGGCTTGCCGCGTACGCTGAATGCGGCCCACACCATTACCGAGCCACCGCCTCCTTGGCGCCGCTTAGTGTAGCGCGGAGGTCTGCGTAGGTCGCGCCAGCAATGTTGGAACCCATCGGGGCCGTCTAGGTTCCATTTCTTTTCATCCGAGAAGATATTGACCCTATTGGGATCAGACCGGAGGATGATCGGTTTTCCGGTAAGGCGGTAGGCTCTGAAGTATCTATTATTAGGTAGAAGCACGAGGCAACATCAGCTAGGTCTCATTCTTCGTTTTCTCTAGCGGACGAAAGCACTATTTCTCGCTCTTTCTACAAGTATCACACGCCAACTATGCAGTCGACTCCTCTTCGCATCGGCGATCTTGCCTTTGTCGGACCGCTCCATGCACCAGCACTACCGCGGTTTGGCTACGTGCGGGTGAGTCGCCTTGATGGCGACACCGTTTACGTGAGCAAGGTCGAACCGGAGGATGAAGAAGAGGAATTCGCGGTTGTGCTGGCCACCATCATGGCTCGCAAGGTAGGCACCTCGGAGATTACGTTGTTACCAGGATCCTATGTAGGTCGTCTCGTGGCATTTGTTCACCCTATCGGTGCACCTGCGGGAAAATGAGCCTATGGCGCCGTTACCCGTTACGAGTTTGCTCGTGACGGCCCGATACTCAGTGTGTTGGAAGGATCTACAACCATCTCGGTGCGCCTACTAGATCCTCCTCAGATCATCAAGGTCGACCCAATCAACTATGCTCTACAAGTGGGTGCCACGGTGTCGGACATGTTCCTCAACGACCGGGAATTATTGCAACAGCAGGTTTGCGTCACGTTACAGAAGCGTAGAAGTGTCACGCCGGCGACTATCAAGCAGTTGGCTACAACACCCTTCGAACTCGACTCGCTAGTTCCGCTCGTTCGACTTCATGACCTACAAGTAGTTCAGGTTCGTCGCCAGCATATTCTCGATTGTACTTCTGGACCCCGAAAGAAGAACACCCTGGATTTTTACAGAGATCCCAGTGTGACGGAGGGACAAGCACCGACCGCTTCAAGCGCCGAGACTTTAACGCCTTCTGACACTGCCGAGGAGGACGGTTTCAACTTTGATGTCGGCTCAGATGACGACGCCATCGCGTCGGTTCAGCACCAGCATCGTATTCTAGGCAAGCGCACCCGGCACTCCCCGGTCGAGGGTTCTTTGTTCGACAGCCAGACAGCTGATACGGAACAGCCACTGCCCAAAGGATCCTTTCGACCATCTTCCATTCAGCGGCAAGTGCATCGGACTGTCGTTCAACCACAATTTTCAGGTAAGCATCCTCAATCTTTGCTTGAATCTATGCAGCAGTCAATTCATGTACAGTTCCTCGTTCCACCCCCAATTCTCCGAGGCCTCTACGTATTTAGTTTCGGCTGCCGAGGACTATCCGTTATGCACTGCAAGCCGGCACAACTAATGGATCGTGTAGAGGCTTTAGAGTCCGCTTCTGTCTCAACGGACTTCTCTGAGAAGAATCAGTATCGCCCTGCCCCGCTAGCCACGTCCAAGGACGATGTTCTCAATTCTCTACGAGCTCCCCGTGTACTTGCTATGGCTTTCTACAACGACGAAGTAATTGACCTGATTGACGCGGCTACAAATTTTCTCTTCCGATATAAAGGCCTCCCTGAAACGGAGGCGTTGGGCTGGAAACTGATGTCGTATTGGGTAACCAGCAAGTTTAACCAGTTTCGCAGCCACCTTCTCTCTGGTAGTGCTGACGCAGTGCTGGGTGTCCGGTCTGAATTCTCGCGCAACGACGAGGAGTTGTTGGAGCTATTGGATCTCCGGGGTAATCCCCAAGCTGGACCTGTCCAGACTCATCGGGTGAGGCTGCTCTCTGACAACCCCAAGCGAGCCGAGCGCCCCCGTAAGCAGACTAGCAGCATCGCTCAGGAAGTTCTGGCAGCTCTCCCTCGGCAAGCTGGAAAGCGGATATGCATGAAATTTCTCTCCAACATGGGATGTACCGGCAACACCGAAGGTGGGTGTTTTGACAGCAAGAGAGCGCATTTTCGCCCAACTCAGCTTCCAGAAGTGGTTAAGAACTGCATTGTGGAGAAGTTCAACGGTCTCAGCCCAGCAAACCAGGATCTCTCACTATTCCCACAACTTGAAGCCATGTGTGACGTGGTCAATTCCTCCCGTTCGTACTTATATCTCGCAATACGCTCAGCGCACTCCGTCGGTTATCGAATATTTCGCTGTCTGAGTTTTATTTGCTGCTCAGTTTGGTCTCGTGCCACCCGTTCAAGATCGTGATGAACGCAACATGGATACAAACCAAGTCCGATTTCTCTCTGCACTAGCCCATCAGTCTCAGCTCACTTTGCCCGAGTTTGTCCGGCTTTTTCGAGGTCAGAGTGACGCTGATCCACGCCCAAAAAGAGCTCTCCATGAGTTGAAGTTACCACTGGATCCTGAAGCTCAAAGTCTGAGCACAAGTTGGAACAACATCGTGCGTCACAGAGTTCGCCCCCCCCCCGAAGAGCCGATGGACGTCCGCAAAACCGCCAAGTCAAGTCCACCGACCTACGAATCATCACATTTCAGTGGATCACCTTGCCAAAGTCCGGAAACACATTCGTAAAGAACAATTGGAGCGTTGCTATCTGGTCTTGGAGAAAAGTGTAATCGAGCTGTGGCCAGAGCTATTCATCGGTCCTATCGGTATCGTTGACAAAGGCACCAACGATAAAAGGATCATCAACGATTATTCGCTTCCTACGGGGGGTCTCTGAACGACTTTACTGATGCGAACGACTTTCCACCAATCTCTTATAACCCCCCTCGTGCTATTGCAACTCGCATCCACGAGTTGAGGACTTTGCGCCCTCACGCGGAGGTGTTGCTTATGCTCGGAGACGTCTCCGGTGCTTTTCGGCACGTGCCGATGAACGAACATGAAGTGCACATGCTTGCCTTCCGTTTCGATGACCACGTGGTTATTGACCTGTCGTGTGGATTTGGCAAGTGTCGTCTTTCTACTTCAAGACTATACTCGACGATGATGGAGAGCCTACTACAGTATACGTATGCCGCTGTGGTGTTCAGCGCCGAATGGAGCCCAACACTGGCTACACCAATCTACTTGGCCACGTCTTCATGTGGCACACGAACTTTGTCGCCGAGATGACCAGCGCCAGCACAAGTACTGGCACGTTGGTTGGGTTTATCGACGACAAGACCCACAAGGTCTTCTCTTGGATCGACATGGTGCTCTCGTGCAACCTGCCCTTCTCATTCTGTGAGACTAGCGCGGCTTCTAACTACGTTAAGATTGAGAGCCTTTCGACGGACAGCCTGGTGAAGTACATGCGACTGTTAGCCCGTGAAGTCGAATCTGTAATCGCTGGTATCCTGCCTAAGTCGTTTGGTATCATTTTTGACGGGTGGACTTTCCGGTCGGAGCATTATGTCGCAGTCTTTGCGTCCTTTCGCCACGACGGCAAGATGCAGACCATTCTGATCGCTATGGCGCCAATTATTGATGATGAGATCAGTGACCACACTGCCAGCAGCCACGTCAAGTTCCTGGACGTCATTCTTTCCTACTATGGCCGGAGCAAAGCTAGTATCGCTTACATTGTCGGAGATAATTGCTCCGTGAACGGTGCTGTCGCTGATCAGCTGCAGGTTCCGATGGTGGGCTGCGCCAGCCATCGTCTGAACCTAGCGGTGAACTTACTTCTCGCTGGCGACGGCAAGCTACTCGATAAGGTACAGAAGTTGATGTACAAAATGAAAAATTCGCTGCTGGTGTCTGCAAAATTACGGTGAGTTTAATCTATGATTATGTGTGTTCTGAAATTTAATGTGCTTATTTTGTGCTAGTCGAAAAACGCTCCTTCGACCTGTTCCTAGACAGGACACTCGCTGGTCATCTACTTTTGCTATGGTTAACAGATACTTCGAGCTGAAGGAGTTTCTTAGTGACGACGACGAGGACGAGCTAACTGGGTTTCTGCCAACCCGGCTAGAGGAAAAGCAGCTGAAGTCGATCCTCGCCAACCTCAAGATGTTCGAGTCAACCTCGAAGCAGCTGCAAAGTGCAGACGCGGTAACACTACTCGACGTGCGCGACCTCTTTGACGCGCTCATTGCACAGAAGCCAGAAGTCGCCCACTACCTCGCTGCTGATGCAACGATCGTCAAGAGCCCTGCTTTCGAACGAGCTTGTGAGAGTGTGCTGCTGGGTCGTGAAGGCGCGCTGAGTGACGTCGACAAGGCTATGCTGGAGCCGCTGGCCGCGGAAGCAGCCCCACTGTCGAGTTCTTCGGAGACAACGTCGCTCGATGAAGGTTTCGCCGCTGTTACGCTCGAGCGTGCGAGACGGCTTCGTCAAGCTACTTCACGCTTTAACGATCAGGTAGCTGTGATCGCTCCGACTTCGAACGTCGTCGAGAGATTCTTTAGTCAAGCGAAGGCAGTAGTCGGCATGCGCCGCCAAGCCATGACTCCATTGCATCTGGAAAGTAACCTCTTCCTGAAGGTGAATCGCTCGTACTGGAGCGCAGCAACGGTGCGCAAGGTCGTCCATGGCACGCAATAAGCTCACAATATTCATACTACACACAAACGTCTATGTATTTCTTGCAATACGTCCAATTATTGCAGTCAACTCTGGAAGGAAGACACGCATAGTTATTTGTATTGCTGCATTCACGAACCAAATAACAATAGCATTTTCGGAACCCCTGAGTAGGTGATGATAAAACCAGTATGTGATGCGGGGGTATCGCCATTCGTTTCATATCTCGTTCGTTTCGGCCCCAAAGCGCGCTGGTAGCAAAGACATACAAGTAAAGACTGCGATTATCAGTACTCAGCACTGCCGCGTCCGCCATCGTAGTTGTAGGCGACCACTTGTAGCCTCCTTGCACACCACTTTTAATAGTGCGTCAATTTGCTCGGTGAAACCGCTGCCGTGCGCTTAACCACCATCGCGAGGAATTGCTCCAATGCCTTCGAGACAATCGTGGTCGTCTCAACGTCCGTATCGTCGGCCTGTAACCAACACCAGCTAACGCCGTCCCGTCAGTAGCTGTAGGCAAACCGACTGCTACAGTCGTCGGCAGCATTTCGTTTGCGTTCTACCTGGCTATCGCCTCCAATGATGCGTCGTGCTCCACAGATACACACCGTAGACGGCTATCGAGACTGAGCACGGATCTACCTCTGTTGACGGCCATCTCGGTCTGCCATGCTCGCCACGGCACTGACAACTCCGGCGCTGAGTTTTTACCAGGTCATAGAAATATCCAAATAAATAGATTCTTCTTGTCCCAACGTTAATACAACAATCAATATATTAGAGACTTTCAGAAGTATCGTAATTTAAAAAAATACGGTAGCAGAAAACACGTAGCGTGATGTTCAATTTTTTGTGCTGGCCGGCACGTTATTTTGGCTTCTGTCGACGGCAACCTAGGGGCCACCTACCGCTTTTATATTTCAAAAATCGGGGAGCTCAACACAAGTCATGCTAGGCAAAAGCACGCTCGCACAATACCCTTGTGGAGCCGACAAAGACGTAGCAGCGGCAGCCTGCAAGAACCCGGTACACCCACCATATGTGCTCCAACATCGTCTACAAAGGTGCCTTGAACGTTCGCGTATGCTCCGATGCGTGCTCCACTGCTCTTGAATTGAAGCAACAGGTACCCCCAGATAATCTACCGCGCCTAACAGGTGCGCTACTGCTGCCGGAAAGCATTCTACCGTTGCTAAAGCCAAGTCGAAGACTAAATCAGGTGGAAAGGCCGCCCACGGGAGCAAGCGCGCATCAACCACGGGCTGAGGCCCCAAGGCAAACCGAAAGGAGACTCGCGGGGAGTCGGAGTAAGGGGGTCTGTCGTAAAATACGGGTGATACTCATTTGGACGCCTTGGACGCTGGTGAAAGCAAGTCAGAAGCTAAAGATGATGGCGACAGTGATGATCATAGTTCCAAACCTAAGAAATTCTTTTTACGATGGCGAACGATTTAAACTTTCTCAAAGAGGTCCTCAGTGCTCGACCATACACTACCCAAGCATGCCTCTAACCGCGTTACTTCGAACACCTTCGCGCGTGCGTATCACTGTAGGGATCTTCAGGTGGAAACCGAAAGGACCGTTTCGCTGACAATGAAGCGAAATTGATCTCTAGCCTCAGCATCCGATATAGCGAGAATGATCAGTCAAAAATGGGGTACTAGGATGCGTTCTCGGTAGGGAAGATATGTCGGGTGCATCAACCAGAGCAGAATCACTTCGTCATCACCGTCTGCCGCTCGTAGGCGCTTCATCGAAGCCTGTGGTATAGACGATCCCCTCCGTAGTAAACCCTAGAAATGGAATACTAATGCCGTGCGTAGCCCGGGAAGCCCTGGATATTTAAGGTACCGGTATTTACCGGTAAGCTTTTAGATGCTGGTCACATAAAGCCACAAGTGGGCGATTGTCCTTCCGCTCCTCAAACAGACCCAAATCGGAAAATTTCGACGTAATTCACAATATCTACACCCTTCACACTAATTAGTCGTGCTTCGAATATAGTCAGGATTCGTACTTAGACGAATCAGAACGGTACTACAACCATATTTAGTGATGTACCAGTATTAGTCGTGCAGCAACCCCTGCACCAACCATCGCTGTCTGCTGTTATAAGTTCCAGTTCGAGAAGTTTAAACAGCTACGTTAAAGCTCGCATTCTAAGATGTGCGACGATGAAAGAAGGACACTCCAGCACGTCGTTGCAGTGACTGATCGGGCTCGCTGTGTGGCGTGGATGGAGGGGAGCGCAGCCAAGGACGGTGTCAAAGGCCTCTGTGATTCGTGCATTTTTTTTAGGATTCTCACATCGTCACCATTATTAGAGTGAAGGGTGTAACGACGAAAAAGATATCATGTCGCAAGAATGTCGTTCATCGCTGAGGTCGCTCGAATGTCGTTCTTTACCGGTTGGGTCAACATTCACTTGATTAACTGAAAAATTTTAGAGGTTATAATGGATTACGTCTATTTATTTGCTTCCCATAAACACACATATATCGGGTAATTACAGATGTAGCCTAATTATATATTTGTACAGGTTCGTCGACGGTTCTCGATCCCACCTAAGACTCTGAATATAAATATCCAGAGAACTCCCTCAATAGCAATAAATTAGCATACAAGCCCAATATATTTTTCCCTCTCACCCCTCAATAGTAAAATGGAATACATTTGTTGTCAACTATTCCTATTGTGGGGTGCTTAACTATGGAAAAGATATAATTGCACAAGAGCATTGTTGCTGCCACGATCCGAATGTTGAACCGATGAAGCCTATTCTTTTGACTACTTTGGACGTGATTCGAGCTTTAGGATTACGGAGAAGTGCTCAACCTTCACTCTAATTGCACACCTGTGACGGCAACACACTCTTCACTCCACGAAACCCAATTGACACTTACCTGGTCGGGTGTGTATTGGCGCACACCTCGTGCCGCGTCTTGTGGCCAACTGTGAGACCGGAAGTGAGTCCAGTGCTGTTCAGCGTGTCAATAGCTTCCAAGACAGTAGATTCTGTGAGCCCATGAATCTAGCTGGATGTGAGCTAGTACACCAACAACTGCCGTAGCCAGAAGACACCTATTTGTTACAATAGCCTTCATAAGGCATTCGAAGTTTGCGATGTGAGCACCCGAACTGCAATTTCGTGATCAGTAAAGCAAGAAATTAACTTCAACAAATACCCTCTCAAAGTCTACTACATGGGTGGTAGCAACTGTCGTACTGCCTTGCTGAACACGCTGGATAGTGCCACCCGCACCTGGGTGTTCGACACCATCACGAGGCCCGTAAGAAGCGGATACAGCCACGTCATGTGACGCTGTAACTGTAGGATAACATGGCACAGATCTAGTTAGAAGATACAATCATCCCAACAACCAACTTAAAGAATCTTACCTCTGTGCTGTCGAACTCCGCCAGCTCTTGCAAAGTGGCAACCAATAGCGGTGTGTAGCTCTCCACGCGCTGTTGTGCGTCAGCAGGCATCTTCGCTTCGTCGATATACTGCGGTGCTACACCTGTCCAAGCCAGATATTCTTCTAGAGTATCCTGCACCAAACGTACCATGTACTTGCGAGCTTCATCTTGCTCTCCAATCGGAGCAACTTGTGCGTTATTCACGCGCCGCACAAGCGCAGTAAAGAGTACGTGTAGATACTGCTGCTTACCCAGCACTTCCTGGGGTAACAAGCTCGGCAGCTCACTGGAAGATGGCACTGTCATGCCATAACGCCAGCCAACACGTTGTAGATACCGACGCAGTGGCACTGCATCATTCACCTTGCGAGCGAACAGGAAGCTCTCACGTAGACACGACAGCAGGGAGTGAGCGTGGCCGACACTCAGTGATAAATTCTCCTTCCGACGGCTGGCCAGCACGTTGCCTGCCACTCGTTGCAGTGCCAATAGCACAGCCAAGTGTGTGCGTGAAGGTACGCGCTGCGCTTCCACTTCGTCCACAGTGATCACCTTCGGCGGGAAGCTCGTAGTAAATGAAAAGCCTAACGTCGCCACGACTCCTGGATACATGCTCAGAAGCGAAGGCTGCCGTGGTGACGTCAGGTTCACAGCAGTAGGACTAGTGATTGGCGAGCGTGGAGGCGACATCGGCTGCTTCGACGGGCTGTCAGCATTGGCTTCAACCGGATACTTCGAGGCTTGAACGCTCTCATCGTCGTCTTCTGGAGGCAGGGCGAAGAAGATCCACGTTGGCTCAGCGCGCTTCATGACGTTGCGCAGCTCGTCAGCGATCAGACCCCACACGTCCTCGGGGAACTTGTGTCCGTGTGTGACGAGCATTACCTCGAGTGCGCGTGCCGAGGCGGCTGCAAGCTGTTCCTCTGCATCGCCAGCATCCATGCACTTACCAAGGAGAAATAATACTTCAGGAAGGAACCCTACGATGTCGTAAAAGAGGCCAAAGCACTCCAGCAGTCGCTCCAGACACAGCGTCGCTGTGGTCTTACCAGCCGTGTATTGAGGCATTCGAGAAGACGGATCATTCGACGGTAATGGAAGCTTGGGTTGCGCATGTGCTCCTCTCTCCACGACCACCTCGAGGTGGCGAAGCTCGTCCAGTAGCGGGATAAGCACACCCTTGAAGATCAGTCCCCACAAACCAGACGTGAACTTGTTGCCGTGCATCTCCAGCGCATTGAAAAGCGCTTCAAGAGCTGCGAGACGAACATCTAGACGACGATCAGCAGCAAGCGTGGATAAGGCCGTCAGAACTGGCCACCACATGCGCGTATGCGCAGCCGAGTCATTGTATGCTGCCTCCCCGATCTCTCGCTGCTCTTCCTCCTGGACATCGACGGAACTCGATCTCCTGCGAGGTGATAGTGGAGAGGCAACCACCTTACGCGGTGACAACTCTGCCACTTCTTCTTCCAATGAACGCACGGACTCCTGCTTCTGATAGCGTATTGAAGTGCGCTTAGAAGGCGACTGTACTCCATCCGAGCTCGCTTCATCAGCGGGATCCTCCGTCATTACCTTGACCTTCTTGAAGCCAACACGGGCCGCCTGTTTGGCCGCAGCGGCAGCAGCCGCCGACGCAGGAGCAGCTGCAGTAGAACCGGCAGTCTCACGAGCCGTAAGAGGCTCAATAACCTCTCCTGTTGCCAACTTTTCGATGCACACGCTGCGCAGAAGCCCGATACTGTCTACGCCAAGCTGAGTGAGTGCAAGTCGCTCCTCCATTTGACGCTCGACCTCCTCACAGCCGCACACTGCGAACGCCAGTAAACACTCCACTGCATCCACGAACACATCCACGATGCAGTCAAAGTGTCGCTCCAACACACCACGCGCGACCTGGAATCCTAGCAGCACCACTCGGTCCTCACTCCCTGGTGCATACGTCTCGGCAGCAATACGGAGGACGCCCCAGATCGTCTTCCAGCCGGAACGAATATTACCAACTCTGGCCAGAACCAGGTTCTCCACACAACGCAGCACAAGCTCACGAGTCTCCAACGACATAGCATTGGCCATGATCACTTCGAATGGAGCCAAGAACAGACGTTGGAAGTTGAAATCACGCAGCTCTGCACGTTCAAGGAACTTCATACTCAGTTGACGAAGCGAATCAATCGCGTACATGCCCACTGTCAAGTCCTCATGACATCCGATCGTAGTGAAATGCCTCGACAATGTTTGCCACGTTGCTGCCCACACCATTCGAGAGCGTGTACGCATGTTCATATCAGCAACTTCGACCAGCTTCTGCAAGCTAAAGACACGAGGAGGAGAGCCACCTGCCGCCCCAGACGGCCCCACACCCGAACACTCCGATAGCGATACTACAGTAAGCTGTACGACGAAATCCTGCAGCGCTTGGTCGCTCAGTGACACCGAACTCGAGAACACCCGGTCGCTTGCTAGTTGGTCGATCTCGCTCAACACACGAGCAGCATTCTCGTCCTCGATCGCTGCACTCTGCGCTTCATCCAACTCCGAGCCGCTTCCACGACCACCGATATCACGATGTGACGGAGACGGGGAAGACAATGACGATCCCAATCCACTTCGTTTGCTGCCCGATGTAGAGCCGAGCATACTGAACGACGGTGTGGAGTTAGAACTGCTGTTGCGCGAGCTGGAATGGCTCATACCAGGCGAAGGCTGCCGGTTGAAGTACGACGATTCACCAGAAACGGATCCTGCAGCCGAGCGCTCGTGTAAACCCTGAGCGTGTGTCTGGATGCGCGCCAACTGCGATATGGCCTGCAGAACATCATGCCACGAGTCTCCGAGGTAGTTTCCTTCCTTCACACTGATCGAGATCAGAGCCTTGATAGCTTCCATGTTCTTCGAGCGCATCAGACGCGAGTTTGTCGTATGCAACGCCGTAAACTTGGCTAATACCGTCACAAAGGCATCTCTCTCAGCTGGCATACTCAGCCTAGCAGAGAGGTGCACTGCATGACGGAAAGAGTCCAAGCAGAGTTGGATGGCCTCTGCTGACTCGGAGCTCTCGAATGTCACTGAACATGCTGCTAACAGGGGAGCCCACAGTGTCTCGAACATAGGACGCACATGTGAACGTTCGTTAAACCCAGAGACCTCGTGGAACGTAGATGCCAATGGATCGGGTGTCAACAGAGACGACGGGCCTTCACTTCGTTGTGAGGGAGAAGCTCCAGAGGTTGATGCTGCAGTGGATCGATTACCTCGAGGTGACAACGGGAAATGCTGTTGAGCTCGAGCTGACGCCGGCACTCGACGCTTGAAGAGAGCTTCAGACTGACGCACCATCGACTCGCGCTCTTTGATGTACGCGTCGCGACGCATGCGATCAGTAGCAGCATTCGACGCTCCAAACAAAGAGCTGGCAGCACTCGAAGCAGCTCCACCACGTCGATTACGGAAGTCGTCGTCTTCCTTTAGAGAAATCGGGGTCGCCTTGATACGGTCGAAGATAGCGCCCATGTAGTCTTCCGGTAGATCCTTGCCATCATTGATACCGCGGTTATTACGCAGAAATCCAGTCTTGTCCATCTTCTTCTCCTCCGCAATACTCGGGTTATGCAAATCTGTCTGTAGCATGATGATCGAGAACGCTAAGATGAAGGCTGTGTCGGCACTCGGGAATAATCCAGGCGGGCAGGCATTAAAGAACCGCTCAGCGAACTTCTCCATCATGCGATCAATTTTCTGCGATTCACCGGGCAACCGGAAGCCAGCAAGGAAGTGGCGAATGGCTACATCGATCTCTAGCCCCGTAAAGTCCATCATGTCGACGTATTCGTGCAGCACCTTGACACAGAACCCTCCTTGATAATGGACACCATTGCCAAGGTAATCGCCCACCATTGTCTTGTCTAATTTGTCGTTGTAGGTATGGAGGAACTGTGCAACATCACGAGGCGAGCCTTCGCCCATGTGTCCGTGGGCAACGAGGTACGCGATACCAGCGCTAGGCTTAACGTTGAACTTCAGGATACCCGTAGCCATCTCCTCTTGACGCTTCTTCTTGCTTTCAAAGGCCTCCACAGCCGACATAGTAGACGACACGACTGGAACCATATCTGGTGGGGCGACAGTGTCTTCTTCTCCGCCGTTTTCGCTGTTGTGAGCCTCTTCTCCTTCGTGTTGAGATGACTGTCGCTCTGCCTCGACGAAGTTCGCGGCCTTCTTTAGTGATGCAGCTGTAGCTGTAAGACATTCCAGACCCTTGAGAGCAAGCGCAGCGTCCTGATGCAGCATCTTGATCCGCGCACTGCTAGACAAACTAGCAGCATATTGCTGGGCCGCAGCGTCTTGAGAGCGGCCGCCCTTTGCGGCCTTGGCAAGAGCATGCACGATCTGCTTGAACAAGTCGTTAGTATTCCAATCGCAGTCGTAATTGATGAAGATTTCCCCTAAAGTCTGCGGGTCGTCACAGATTGCGTGGAGCGCCTCCAGAACCAGCAGTTTGTGCTCGAAACTTGCGTTCTCAGACTGCAGTAAGCGCAGGAAGATACTCGTGATGAAGATGTCCAGCTCCGTCTTCAGATGGCGCTTAAAGTTGCGCAAAAGCACCAGAAAAACCTGCAAAGACAGCGAAACGATCTGCGTGTAGTTACTTGTGCAGTTCTGTAACAGCGATTGGCATAAATACTGTCGGATAGCGTGAACAAATCGTTCACCACGTCGAAATGATGGGCCGGCGTTCTCCAAGATCTCCTTCACAAGCTCCAACGATAAGATCTTACTCTGGAACGCGAAAGGGTCTTCAGGATTGGCGCCGTTCCCTGCATTTCCAGCGTTGGAGCCGTTCGCACCATTCGCCGTCGGGGAATCATCAGCCACCGACCGCATAGAAATTCGACATAGCGACCTAAATAGTAGAAAAGCATCCTTGTGAAGCACGGACGGGAACGCAGGAGCGTTCACGGGCTGCGATAGGGTCGTCACGGCCTTGATTTTCTTTGTTGTTGTCGACGAGACTGGCACTTTTTCCGAGTGGTGTGCTGCACGAGGAAGCTGGAGCACTACTGCGACCGACGGATACCAAGCATCAGTAGGCTTTGCGCGCAGCGTCTTGGGCAGAATATCATCGTCGCTGTCACTCTCACTGATGTCGTGTTCCTGTGCTTGTCCTTGTTGTGTTTGGCTCTCTTCTTCCTGCTGACTCTGCTCTTGTTCCTGTTTATCCAGCGCCTGTAACGTAGCTTTGGTCTCTTCCTCCACACGTCGATCAAACGTCTCCATTCTTTGGAATACAATGCTAATAATTTGTTGCAACGTGGCCTTAGCCACTGTCCTGTTGGTGACGCTCTTGCTCACCAAATGCACGTGATAGCACGCTCTCACGGCTCTCAAGAGCGCATGCTCATGCACTTCACACGTCGGCGTCGTCACTGCTGTCAGTAAAACTCTTAGTACCTGAATCTGCACTCCCTCATCCGGGTGATCGTTGCAGTCACAAGCCACCTCGACAACGCAGTCGATTAGTCTGTACCTGTCCTCGTTACTGTCCTCCTCTGCCCCAGCATCTCTACTGCTGTTTGATGGCGTAGTAAGCCCAAAAGAGGGTGCAGCATTGGACCCTGACTGACCTGACCCGGCGCCTGACCCTGACCCCAGACCCAGACCGAAACCTGACCGGCGACCGGAAGTGGAGGACGCGGCTGCTGCCTTCTGCACGAGACGGCGCCGGATCCCTTCGGGGATTACGCCTGCCTCCTTGAGGAACCCGAAGGCCAGAAACTTCTCCATACAGTCCAGTGCTACGGCTACGAGCTTGGCGTGACGGGTTAAACAGGCTAGCAGGAAGGGCTCGAAGGGTACTTCGAGTGTACCCTCCTGGCTCGCGGCCGTAACCTTAGCTTGTGCCGCGTCCACCATGTCGCGTAACTCGCGGTGGCTGCGGGTACAAGCCTTGCGCAACTTGCCTAACGACTTGAGCACCAGCGCCTCCATGGCGTTACGAAGGTTACGTTCGGGGTTAGAGGTGAATGGAACTGCAATCGAGCGCCAACGCGATAACGGGGAATAGACACGAGCTTGACGATGCAGGCGAAGGCTTCAGGCGCTGATTCACGCGGATAGAGTGCCACGAACACAGGGACGGAGAGCTTCCAGCACGAACGTAGCCGCTTTAGGTTCCCCCTGTCGTAACGACGCGATCTTCGATCCGATTGGTCGGTTCAAGATGAAATGTGGTGCACATTAATGTACCAAAGTGGAACAAAGTGTTTTTTTTGTCGACACTGATGTACCGAATAAACGGTACGGTACCTGTCCATCCATCAGTTGCACTGATTGTTGGTCATGCAGAGACTCTCGCGAGTGCTGTACGCGGCGACGAGACATCGAACGTCTTCTTCTGTGTCTGCACGTCTTATTGCGGCATCAGCCGCACCGAGTTCCTCACAATGGAGCTCAAACTGTAGGCTCATGAGTGCCGTATCCGCCGTTCAAGAGCCACCGAAACTCGGACGTTGTGCTCGCCGCCGAACCAAGAAACAGCGTATTTCGACCACTCTTGAGAGTGCTACAGAGGCATCAAGTGATGCAGCGACCAATAAGCAGCAACAGAGCAAGAAATCTAGGTTCAACGTGCACCGGTACATCGTACAGGAGCAGTTGCCACTAGAGGACGTGCTACCGATGGTACAGAGCGAGGTGCGCACCAAGACGCTCCAGGCGGCAATGGCGCGTCAATCTGTGGACTCGTTCTACTTCCACTGCGCCCAGCAGGCGGAGAAAAAGGGGCTTACAGACGAGTTAAGACGACGAGTGCTGCAATATTTCGACCAGGAGCTCTTTGTCTACGATGAAGAGCAGGAGACAAAGCCTTTTGTGCTTGGCAAGGCGCTCAATGAAGCAGTATTTGGCTCGGTGATCAAGTTGCATTTGGCAGGAGGTGATACTGAGGCAGCTTGGATGGTAATTAACAAGCTGCGTCGAGCTGTGCGAGGACAAGAGGAAGGTGACGCGCCCAAGCTCCACTTTCGAACGGTGAGTCCGTTGCTCGAGCACGAATGCAAACATGGTCAATTTTTGAGCGCATACTCGAGATGGCAGCAATTGAAGCAGCATGACGTGGAGTGGACTAGTGCCATGGAAGACGTGCTGGTGCAGATGGTCGTAGCGTGTGTGAAGAACAATGAACTGCAGCTGAACGTGTACACGGATGTGCCCGAGAGCGAGTCCACTGAGTCGCACTTCCACGCTCAGATGGCATCACTGCTGCATGATCTGCAGCTTACGTGTCGCGAAATATCTCCGCCTAATGCCCAGCGATTACAACATGCGTTCCGTGATGCTGGGTATAGAGTGGACTCTGTACCAAGCGATGCTCGGATGAACCCCAAATGCCCATGCTGCGGACACGCTTTGAACAAGCAGGGAATGTCGGAACAGGAGCGTGAGCACATGCTAACTGCTCTCGAATCCCGCCGCTGCAAGATGACGCCTGAAAAGCTGGTCAAGGAGTTCTTGGATCCATTCCGGGACTGGTTAATGCTTCGTCACGAAACTTTCCAGCTGCAAACATTGGCTGGGAATACCAAGAGCAGCAAGCCACTGCACTACGTACTGGACGGACCCAACCTCGCGTATATAAACCAAAACTTTGAGGCCGGCACGTATCGTTTGGACCACGTAGACACCGTTGCGAAGGAGCTACAGGCTCAAGGACATCTCGTTAGCATCACGATGCCTACGGGTTATCTCGCTGATAAGTTTTTGGTGCGTATACGCAACAAACGTTACAGGGAAATGCGTCGCCAAGGCAAATACGTCACACGTGAGCGTACGCCTGAGGAGAAGGCTATTGTGGCGCGTTGGAAGGAGGAAGATATGATCTTTAGCTGCCGCACAGACTTCTTGTCGGACGATCTCTTTTGGCTGTATGCGAGCGTGCTATTAGGCCGCGAAGGCCGCGTGGTCACGAACGACCAAGGCCGAGACCACGTATTTGCCCTGCTCAATGGCTACAGCAGTACCAGCGCCAAAGCTCAGACTCAAAAGAACGGCAAGAAGAGCGCTGCCGCCGCCCAACACGAAATAGAGCAGACAGGTGCTCCATCCATCTCAATGGACCTTGTCGCGCGTTGGAAGGACATGACGACTGTGAATATCGAGATCAAACACGAAGAAACCGCGGTCAACGCTGCTATCGCGGGCGACTGGAAGGAGCTGATCCCGATCGAGTACATCAAGCTGCTCCACCCGCAGCCGTTCTCGCGCGTACCGCAGGTGACAGCGCCGCTGCATTTCCATTTCCCGGTTGCAGAGCACGCAAATCAAAACGAACATCCAAATCAGGTGCAGAACCAGCGGAAACGTACGCGATGGCTCTGTGTGCACCGAGAAGATGACAGCAACTAGAAAATCTTAGACCAAAAACTTGCATAACAATGGCATATAGATGCGAATGACATGATATATTGCCTGTTGAAGAGTATGAACAGGTGATGACTACTACGGCTTGATGATGCTTAGTTAGCGTACTAAGCGTAGACACATTTGCCGTTGTCGCACTTGAAGCCAGGGTCGCAGGCGTCGATGAAGAGGCTGGTGGCCGGGTTGAAGCACTGGCTGCCAGTCGGTGCACGGCAAGCGGTCTCGCCACGGGGGCAATACTGACCCGAGGCGCAGGCTTGGTAGCAGATAGCGCCGTTGGCGTTCTGCTCGACGGTGTGGACACGAAGGTGGACGGCAGCCTGGTCTTCGGCGGTCGTCGACTGGAACAGGCACGCAGTGGCGACAAAGGCGGCGGTGAACACGGTCGAGAACTTCATATTGCTGAGCTGAGAAGAGGAAGGAGGCTTCAGGGTCGTGAGGCGAATTCGGAAATGAGAGTCTTGGTCTAGCCAGCATCGACGTAGAATAAATCAGGGACCACAAGGCATCAGGGTCTCATTGAACGAGACCTGTGCCTGCCTTGCAAATCCTTCCAAGTTGGAATCCAACAAGACTTCCCTCTTGCACTGTTTGCTAGTGCCTGAGTTCAATCACGAAGTTAGTTAAGTTTTGAAATGGCTTGGCGAGTTCTCTGTTGTTTCCTGTCGACGGTGTTGGTCGCGAAATCAGTAGGAGAGACTCGACTCGAGGTGATTAGGTGCATGCAATACGTTCACCAGCAGAATACGTATCAGGTATCACAACAGTTGGAGCCATAGTCAAGAACCTGCACTGCGAGCGTG